ATATGTTCTAAATGTCAACACCCAAGTACAAGTACAGTCTCCAATAACATTTTCCAAGCTGAGCAGACAGTAATAGAACAAGTCTCTAGTGAGCCACAAACTTTGCAGCCCCTGATCTGAGCCCAAATTATTCAGAGCACCTTACTATTCCGTAACCAAAGTCAGGTGGTGACTAACCTTTCTCCTTGTTTCCTGTGTGCCTCTTTACAATGACCTTTACTAGCAGCAACATCAATCAATTTCTCTAGATTGCACTCCACCAAAACACCTCAAGCCATTTCATCAGCCCAAGCTGAGTGTTCCACCATTCAGGGACATATTTCCTTCTAAGAAGCAGAGCCTTATAAGCAGACTAAGCCCTCATCTGACACCCTCTGCAATGGAACATGGAAACTGTATAGACAATGTTAGCCTAAATGAGCTGTAGCTCCATAATTGTAGTTGAACCAGGACAACACTTTTAGTGCAATGAATCTCTATATAGCATTCCACCACAAAAAGCCCTACTCCAGCTCATCTTGTATACTGAATCTGAGTTAACCTGGCTCCTCCCTGCTCTCGAATTAAAAGAGCAGCATTTCTCCCAATCATGGTTGAATTCAGTATAGCCTCCCTCGGATGTCAGCTAACATCACTGGTGCAGGTTGCTTTCCAAAGTTAAAAAAGACTCTAGATCTTCAGACTTCTAAGAAAAGGAACACCTGCTTATTCCCAAAAGACAAGTGTTGTTACTATATAAATGAATCAGGACTAGTAAAACCACAAGCCGTCTTCCAAATTGACTCTAAAATCGATACCTAGCCTAAATTCTTCCTTCTCTAAGATCAATAGTAATCGCAAATATATTGTTACTAATTGTTCCATGCCTCTTTGAGTTCTTGCTTCACAGGATCAAAGAAATGACCAACTTAATTCTACCATGACCACTGATCCTGAACCAACTCACTCCAGCCTCTGAACCCCCAGATCTTCACCCCTGTTCAGAAAGAAGTAGCCAAAAGAAAGATATGGCACCCTGTTTTAATAATAAAGAGGCTAAGATATTAAGTCGGAATGGTGGGACAAGGGGAAGAGGGAAGAATTCAAACACTAATAAGTAGATCAAACAGCTTTGCTTGCCTGGCTAAGCTAACAGGCACACCATATAAATCACAATGGAATGTCCCTCCTTAAAGACTCTGTTATAAAAACCCTCCCCAATAAGTTCAAACTGTGACTTCCCCATTCTGCCCCTCCAGAATGAGGAACCTCACCTGGGAGCTCGCCAGTTTCCCTCCTTTAATAAAGCTGTATTAATCTTTCTCTCATTCTATCTGATTCCTTCCTTAAGTCTGCTAACTTAACACAAGAGCTCATGCTAATGAAGAAGTTAAAGCTGCATTGAAAACATTGACAAAAATAAGGCTTCAAGAATAGAAGGGATATTAACTGGCATACTCCAACTAAGCGATGCCACCCTGTTTGTGCTCACAGGCCTGTGTGAAAATTTTGGAAGACAATTAATGGGTCAACTGACTAAAAGAAATCTATATTCCTTTTTACTCCCCAAAAAGGTTGGTGTTATATAGAAAGTATCAAACAATATCATCAATATAGTAGGTTTCTTGATTTGGTTTGAGGGTAGAGTGTGGACTGTTTGGTTGATTTTTATTTACTTCACAATTGTGTGTGAGCTGATTGAATTTGCTAGATTTAGCCAGATTAGAGTCAACCAGGAACTGGTGGGTGGGCCTTGTATTTAAAAGTTGCTTGGGTCCTTGGGCCTGGTATTAAATTGTGTTTGGGACAAACATTCCTCTAAGTGGTGCAGCACTGTTCTGTCAATTTACTGTACTGAGGTAACTTGGGGTTGCTGTGATACTGAATGCTATGCCACTGGTGTGTCAAATGGTTATTGATGGCAGACAATGTTTGATAGAGCTCCTAGATTAAGACAGGTTTAGAAGCAGAAGTGGCATACACTTCTTAAACAACATGCCTCTGGAAAAAGTATGAAGGTAGAAAAACTATGATAGTTTTAGGACAGGTCTTTTGTTCATAGGGTCTCTATGAGTTGTTCTCGACTTGACATCACTTAACAACAACAGCAACATCATTAATATTGCATACAAGCAGAATATTAATGGATATCAACCCAAAACTGGCTAGAGCTTTGTTGTTGTTGTTGTTG